GGCCCCCCCCCCCCCACACACACTTTTTGTTTTCACAATAATCATGATCTTTCAGAGCAAGTTGGGCACCTACACACCCTAAAACCCCCCCGTTTCATTTTGTTTTCACAATAATCGTGATCTTTCAGGGCAAGATGGGCACCCACACCCCCAATAAGTCCCCTTCCTTTTGTTTTCACAATTATCATGATCTCTCCAAAACAGATGAAGAGGCTCCTTCTCCTTAGGCTTCTCTAAAGTGTATGAGGAATCAGTCATCTGCCCCACACACAAATCTGGGAGGCACATGCCACCCATGCCTACCCTGGGTATGCACAGCAGCAGGGAGCAACCCCTCCCCCCCATGCCCCTGGACGAGCCTCCCATAGCTCTGTCCCACAACCCACCCCAGCCCCTGCCCCACTGCCTCCGTTGTGGGTCCTCAGTCTGCACCTCCTGCCTCTTACGCTCCACAGACTTACCTGCTGGGTGCTGCTGTACACACCACTGGGCTGCATTCCTGGCCGCACGCACATGGTTGCATGCCTGCATGTGGCATCCTGATATGGCACTGATATATTGGTGCACCTCTAGTGTGTGTATATGTGTGTGTGTGTGTGTGTGTGTGTTGGGTGCTTCCTCTTTCTCCCCCTCCTTCCTGCTGCAGCAGCCTGGAGCCTGGGTCCGGGTTGCCCTGCAGTCCTCTGCACTGCCACCGCTGCTCTGCTGAGTGGCCCAGAGGTGGTGGTGATGGCAGTGGAGTGGAGCCTGGGCGTGGGCTAGAAAACCTGGTGCACAATTAACACATTAAAAAAATAATGCAAAAACCAATCAAAGCATGAATCGTGCACTTTAAAAGTGATTAATTGACAGCCCTAGTTTTTACACATGTTTCTCTCAGGGTGTGGTGGTGTGTTTTCCTTTGAGACCATAAGGTCTGTTCTTTTTTTACCATGCTCTTCTGCTCTGCCGTTTTGGCATTCTGACCCTTGGGTTCCGATTCTCAGGCTGAGCATTTCTGTAGTTTTGTATTAGTGCTGTTAGAAGCCTTCAGCCAGGCCCCCCTCCTTCTGGTGTTTCTAGGAAATGATACTCCAAAGCACCTCTTCCTTCCTTGGAGGTGAGATCACTTAGGAAATTATAAAAATAATTTACATCTCAGCATCAAGAATTCACTTTCCACAAATGAATGCCTAAGCTTAAGCCCATTTACACGCTACAAGTGTGAAAGAGGCCCTATGCTTTAAAAAGTCCTCAGCAAATTAAAACCCACATCCATACAGCCTAAATTAGCTGTTAACAAATAGATACCAGGCTCCACAGAGATGGAGCAACACATGCTTTAAAAACCTTTTAGCAAAATTAGGCTCCACAAAAATGCAACAGGCGCTATTATTTAAACAGTCCTTAGCAAAATTAAAATCCCTGACCACACAACATGATCTAATGTTAACAAACAAAAGCAAGGCTTCACAGAAATTTAATAGTGCATGTTTAAAAAAGCCCTTAGCAAAATTAAAACCTACATCCACATAAAACCCCCCCCCCCCCCGAGTTTTAAAACTTGATTTAAAAATAGTGCCTTCCACTACAGGGTAAAGATATGGAGGTATATGTTTGTTTTGATTTTCTATTTTGGAAGAAGGATTTCTGTTTGTGGACAAGCAGTTACAGTCAGTGTTCAAAATAAATGTGTTTATATTAACAACCACAAATAACCCCTCCATTTTTCAAATACATTTTTACCTTGGCATGGTAAAATTGTGTGAGATAATTGGGGTTCTTCCACTATATAGGCCCCCTGGAATGAAGATCAAAAATACAATAAGTAAGACAGTGTGCTCAAACAAAAAAGGCATGTGAATAATAAAGTAAAATAGTAAAAATAATAAATATATACTTTGCTCTGTTCTAAAGCAGAGTTATCAGGAGAAAGGTTTTTTTCAGGAGGAAAATTAAAGCTAGGTCTCTGTCTGTGGCTCTTCTTTACTATCTCTGGATATGTTCATTCATGCTTCCTCAGCTCATTTTGCAAATCTTATTCAGGCCCACTCAGATGCTGAATCATGCTTGCTCAACACGTTTTACAAGCCTGGTTGAAGCTTGCTTAACATGTTTTACAAGTCCTATTTGGATCCACCCAGATGCTGATTCATGCTTGCTCAACTTATCTTGTAGACCCTGAGATCTGTTAGCTGCAACTCGTTATATGTGCTGGTAATGCTGCAAACAGCATTTAGGCATGTAGGCTGGTGTTGGCTAATTTTTTTGCTGGTTTGTCTTATGTTTACTATACCCTCACAGGGCTAATTCACCACATCCCCAAGATCTCTTCTTCCCAAAAGAATCATACAACACGTGTGAGAATGTTTTTTAAAACAGTCTTTATTTCCATCAAAATCTGTACAAAATGTGCTGCTTTTGCTAGTTTTATACTATATCTTGGCTAACTCTTCTCCTAAGCAGGGTTGTACAATTTCTAGGGCCAATTAAGTATTCAACATAGCCACCAGAGGCTTATTTTCATGATCAAACCATATAGAGCAGTATTAGGATCTTCAGCCAGATGAACAGTGTTTAAAACTGCTATGCCCTGAGCTTAATGTTCCTCTGTGAGGCACAGGCAATTCATGGCATAACCTTTTTCAGTAATAACATCTAAAATGCTTTCTATACACAGATCCACACAAAGTTCACAAATTTTCTGGTTTATATCCTCATTCATCTAGGTAACACATTCATGGCTTTCTTGTCCTAGTTCATCTAAAAAAACACACCCCACGCACATCTAAACACCTCATTCTCAAGCAATATTTCAGGATGCCATAAAAAGAAACACACACAAGAATTTTCATGAGACTTTTACATTCTTGATGCAGGACAGAACCTATTCCTTAGTTCTGTTCCTAACTTCCTTCTAAAACCAGAGCATCGTCATCTTCTGAAACATCAGATCTCTGTTCTTTAAAAAAACAGCTTCTTTTCTCAGGTACCAGCACAGGGCTGCTAGTGTGCTGCCTTTCTGGTGTCATTAAAAAAGCTTCATCTAGGTGCAGAGAGGTTTCAAATGAAAAACTCTAGTTAGCCACTGTTTAATCAGCTCATAGCTAATTCCTATACCTACCGAGGCCCTCCAAAACCCCACCATAAAACCCCAAAGGACACCCACATCCATGCTTCAAGCCTCTCACTCGTGCCTCTGCTCCCTTGTAGACATCTTCACCCCACTCAGGGTCCAGCATGAGGTATCCCTCTTGTCCCAAATCCTCAGTGTTTGCTATGGGAACTGGGGCATCAGGCTCAGTAGCCTGCTGCATACTTACATGAGTCTCCTGCCCAGGTTCAGGCATCTCAGGTAGCCTTTGGGGTAGCAGGCTGCTTTCTTTAATCTTCCCTATCACTGCAGTAGTGCTTTCTTCGCAGACGTTTGGCACGTAATGGTGGTGAAGGGAGGACAAAGGGTCTTAGTGATGTAGTATAAGGATCCATAGTTGCTTTGTATACATTGGCATGGTGTCAGAAAACATGTGGTCTGCTTGGGAGGGTTTCCCAACAGCTTTTGGAAAACAGGTAGTCTTGGGCTTCGAGTCTAGGTCCTACCCCTACAATTGCTCCAGTTGGGTTGGGCGGTATTCACAGAGTGGTCTGACACCGTTGAAACCACCCACCAGTTGGTTGAGGGTGGTGGGGAGAGTTGTTAGAAAACTCCCCACCATCCCCACTACCTGATAGGTCATGCCTTTGCCACATGGTCTAGGGGGGGGTAACTTCTGGGGCCCCTGGGTGGGACATACAGCATGAGGGTGCGTCCTTCAGACCAGACCTTCTTTCCTCATAAGTCACGTCCCCCAGCTCTCCCCACCCCACCACCATTTTGTCACCCTCTGCTGGACTCTCTCCAATTTGTTCACATCCTTTCTGTAGTAGGATGGGGGGGGAGGGGGTGAAGAAAAACTGAACACAGTACTCCAGATGTGGCGTCACCAGCGCTGAACAGAGAGGAATAATTACTGCCCTTGACTTACTGGCAACGCACCTACCAATGCAGCCCAGTATGCTGTTAGCCTTCTTGGCAGCAAGGGCACACTGCTGGCTCATATTCAGCTTATTGTGCACTGTAAACCCCAGGTCCTTTTCTGCAGAGCTCCTGCCCAGCCAGTCAGCCCCCAGCCAGTACCTGTGCATGGGATTGTTCTGTCCCAAGTGCAGGACTTTGCACTTGTCATTGTTGAACCTCATGAGATTTCTTTTGACCCAATCCTTCAATTTGGTGAGGTCACTCTGAATCCTAGCCCTGTCCTCCAGTATATCTCCTACTCCCCACAGCTTGGTGTCATCTGCAAACTTGCTGAGGGTTCACTCTATGCCATCTTCCAGGGCACTCCACTTTATACTGGCTGCCAACTAGACATCAAGCCACCTCCTCTCTAAACTGTGCTGCCCAGTGCAGTAGTCTGGGATCTGCCCTTGCCTGTGAAGATGGAGGCAAAAAAGGCACTGAGCATCCTCTGTGACAAGTTTGCCTCCCCCATTCAGTAAGGGACCCACACTTTCCCTGATCCTCCTTTTGCTACCGATACACTTGTAGAAACCCTTTTTGTTACTCTTCACATCCCTTGCTAGCTGCAACTCCAATTCTGCTTTGGCCTTCCTGCTTTCATCCCTGCATGCCTGAGCAATGTTCTTATATTCTTCCCTAATTATTTGTCCAAGTTTCCACTTAGAAACTGCTTTTTCTGTGATTTAGTTTACTGAGGAGTTCCCTCCTAAGCCAAGCTAGTCTTCTGCCATACTTGCTAGTTTTCCTGTGCATCAGTGTGGTTTGTCCCTGCACTCTCAGTAAAGCTTCTTTGAAGTACAGCCAGCTCTCCTGGACTCCTCT